TATAATATTGTTTATTTTCTCACTCTGCCTCCCTTATGGGACTTGCAAAAGTATATATATTTGGCTTTTCAACTTCTCTCTGCTGTTCATCTTTCTAGCTTCTGAGGGTGAAAAGAAAGCTAGTGAAACATTTTTACTTTCATCAGTATGTGTCTTTACTTTCATCACTCCTTTCCCTGGATTGCCGAGCTTTGGATTTCTCTCTTGCTCCTTTATTTTTCTTCTTGAGTTGAAGCGCTATCTTATTATTTCCAGGCTATTTTCCCTCAAAGGATCACTTTAGAAACAAAGCTGAAGTTTGATAAAAAGTGCTTGTCATTCATTTCCAAATATTTTACAATTTCCCCTTTAATTGAAATGGCCATATAATGTATCAACCAAATCAAGACACTTTTGATAGTGAGTAAAAGGGAGTGCTACTAATAATTACACCAGGATGACAACCTTCAGTCAGGTCTTGCCCATACAAATTCATAGGTATGCACACCCATAGATTATTTTAAAGATGTGTTTTGGTTTTCAAGTGTGTGTGTATGTGTATAAAAAGCAAACAACTTCATTGATGTCTACTGTAGTTACATTGAAGTCTAAAAATCTGGTCTACATGAGAATTTAGAATTAGCTGAAACTAACTTTGTGGTCTAGCTTAATGGTCAAATTTTATAAATATTCCAAATATGGTTGGAAACAATCTGTTTTCAGGCTTCACTCTTTCTCACAGATCATATTTATTAATCATATTATTCAAGTTTTCTGTTTTATGTATTTTTGGTCCACTTGATTTATTATTTTCTGATAGAGGCAGTCCAAATTTCTTGTTATGATTATGGATTTTGAATGTTTCCTCATAATTTGTTAAATTTTGTGCTTCATATAAGATTATGTTGTTACTTGCTTCTAGTTTGATATTAGTATATTATCTTGGTGAACTTTTCCTTTTATCACTAAAAAAGTGTTTTTACATTTTCATTAATTTTTAATATTATACACTTTAACAACTTTCTTTTGGTTGCCTGGCGTATCTTATTCTATTTTATCCCTTTATTTTAACCTTTCTGTATGTTTGCTTTAGGTGTACCTTTGAAAACCACATAGCTAGACTGAAACAGCAAGAAGACAGAATACTTCCAATCTGAGAGAGTCTCTTTTTTAAACAAGTAGTCAAAGATGCTTACATTAATCATGATCACCAACATATTTGTCTTCAATTCTTTCATCTTATTTTGTGCTTTTTTTGTTTCGATGCTGTTTCTTTGTTTCACTTATTCTCCCTTTTTCTTACTTTCTATCTAATTGTTTTCTGTAGCCCTCTCTACTAGTTTGGAATGATATATTCTAGTAGAGAGATAACCTTAATTTTAAAAAAATGTATACTTAATAAAACATAAGTTACATCAATATCTACCTCTTTTTTCCTTATGAAATTGAGAAAGGCTGTTAATTTCATATTCTGATCTTTCCCCAAATATCTTTTATTTTTTTGTCAAATATTTTATTTCCACCTGGTTTTAAAATTCTCCTGAAGTTGACTGTCATTAAAGTGGGAGGGAGGTATTTTATCTGATATTTCTGTGTATTCAGAGTGGGAACAGAGACTTCCCATGTCAGTTCTGTTCACTGATTGAGTCCCTGATTCAGTAAGTTTGAAAAATAACTTGCCCTGGGTTCCTGTTTCTGGTAAGAGCTGTAAAGCTCTGTAGATTATTTAGAAAAGGAGCTCCCTCGTTTTTCCTAAGATCCTAGGAACAAAAAGTATAGATGATGAATATTATAATATTCTGTAAAAGTGAAATCACTCTGGCTTGAGGAATCCAGACAGGTTACTGTAGGAGCAAACATTGGTTAGTCCTAGAAGAATGAACAAAAAAGTTTCTTAAGTGCAAGAGTGATGTGATCAAAAGGGAAATTCCGTTTACTAAAAGCTTAGTGAAGTAGGAGAGGTTATTCTTTGTTTTGTTTTGTTTTTTAAAAACATGAACATGGTTTTAATGCATTTGTCTATTTTATAAAAATAACTGATGCAGGAAATGTAAATGGTGCTTCTATTCTTTCCTAATAATTTTTTTAAAATTTTTTAAAAATTTTATTATTGTTTAAAATATTACAGATGTCCCTTTTTCTCCCCAATGAGGTTATTCTTTGTTGATAGGGGAACCCTATGGGTGCTACTTTATTAGAGTTGGCACAGGAGGCAGGTGTCTCACTTAGGAAGGTGGAAGGAATTAGGGAGGGAAGAGCTGAGTGGGAGACCATCTCCCTCTTGAGAAAAGCAAGAGTTAGAAGAAGTGGTGGCTAACTGTACACAAGAGGAAAGAAGGGAAGCTGCCCTCAAGGATTCCTACTGAGGGGCAGGGAAACTGCCTTTTTTGGGTCCCTCATGAAAATATTAGGATTTTCATCCAGGTGGGTGTTTGTGAAGAGGCTGCATTGTATGGAGCATGGGGGTGGGGAGTGACCTTGGTGGGCCCGGGGCATGTAGCAGTGGAAGGCCTCAGTTGTGACATTAGGCTTTATGTCACGGTGAGTTGTCTCGGCTGCTCTGCTAATTTATTCATTTGGGGATGGCAAATCGCTACTGGGAAAGTCACAGGTCTGAAGACCAGCCTGAGCGGCCTTTCGGGCCTGCTGGGTCCTGCACAGCATCGTAGGAGCGTGTGAATGAGAAGCCTTTGCACCCGAGCAACCGCGATCTGAAAGGTCGCCTAAGTCAGGGAGGCGGGGTTTCAGGGGTCTTTTCCGATTTCATTATACTTTTATCTGTATTGCTTTAATTATTTACAACGAGTCCTTGCAATTTGAATATCCAGGAAAAAATGTCATTTTAATTGTGGGGACAAGCTACTCTCTCCAAGCCGTAGGCGCTGTGCTTCCCCCTTTTCCTGTTGTTACCTCCTCTAACCTCACGTAGCTGTCAAGTCTCCTTCTCCTGATTTTTACGGACGTGAACTGAGGCTCAGGGACAACGGAACTTGCTCAGGGCGAGGGCAGGCAAGGCGGGAGGTCGTGGGTGCTGCCCGCGGCCCCTTGCGGCCCTTCCAGCACGCTGGGGAGTCCTGATGACTGACACTTGGTTGTCCGCTCACGTGTGCGGTTTAGGGCTGTTGGGGCGGGGCCGATCTAAAGCCCGCCCCTATCGCGCCCAGGCCCCGCCGCCGAGGCGCTCCAGGATCCAGAATTCGCTCCGGACGGCCTGCCCCGCCCACCATCCAACC